AAAGAAGGAAAACGAACGGTAATAAATCGACTACAGTAGAGCTAGCATCTATTCCTGATCCTCGACATCTCAGACACACACTCTTCTGATTTGGCTCATTTTCTGATTTTAGCAGTTCTGGTCACTGGTCTAAGTGTTGAAAGACTTACCGCGGTATTCCTGAACTGTGTGTGTGTGTAGTTTGAGATCCTCAGAGTGTGTTTTCAGGGTTTTCGCTCATTCTGAAGCAGAGGAACAGCAGCAGCCGCTCCCACACACTGCAGGAGCAAAGTCTGATCTGATCACAGTCTTGAAGGAGGAGCTCAGGCAGGTGGAGAACACACACACACACACACACCACTTAAACAAACAAACTACAACACACACACCACTCAAACTACAACACACCCCACATACAAACTACAACACACACACCACTCAAACCAACAAACTACAACATACACACAAACTACAACACATTCACCACTCAAACCAACAAAATACAACATACACACAAACTACAACACATTCACCACTCAAACCAACAAAATACAACATACACACAAACTACAACACATTCACCACTCAAACCAACAAAATACAACATACACACAAACTACAACACATTCACCACTCAAACCAACAAAATACAACATACACACAAACTACAACACACACACCACTCAAACCAACAAAATACAACATACACACAATCTACAACACACAAACTACAAAATTCCCCACATACACATCAAGAGCTGAAACAAGCTGAACTGCCGCTCTAGGCAAAGGATGATCACACCGGCCTCAACCCGAAATTGGCCGGTTATCAAAGTGTACGGGGTGGGGGGGAAGTGGGGTCGAGGATGGAATTGAAGACCGGGAGGGGTGGCTGGGGAGAGGGGGGGGGGGTCGCGGCTATAACTCAAAACGCAGTCGTGTCGCGGACGCCCTAGGCGCGGATATAACTGAGGACGCGGGTGGTGAGGGAGGTGTTTCAGACACTGCCCTCTCTATTGTATTCTATGCCTAGGTCGCCTCTATGGACACGCCGGCCCTGTACACATCACTCATACATAAACTATAGCACAAGACACACACATCCACTTTTCCAGAGTCAGGTCGCGGGGGCAGCAGTCTTAAGCCTTATCCACACTACAAGCAACTCTCAGGGGCAAAGCGACAAGCGACTGTTTATTTCAATGGAGAGTCAGCGACTTCCGGCGACCTCCGTCTACAAAAGCAACAGTGACCATTGGCGGCCAGGTGGGCATGGCGAGCGATACAATAAAGTTGAATTAAAAAACAAGAGCGACTTTGTTGAGCAACAGCCAATAGGAGCACCAGTAGTGCTCAGGTGATCCTCTCTCAGCCTGCTCAGAGACTGGTTGTATTCGTGCTGTATAGATCTACACAGACCTACGTTTGCAGCAGGTCATGACCCAGAGCAACAGGCAGCTACAAAGTCGCTGCTAGTGTGAATGAGGCATATGGAGAGAACTCCAGACTTCCCTCTCCCCAGACACTTCCTCCAGCTCCTCCGAGGGGATCCCGAGGCGTTCCCAGGCCAGCCAAGAGACAGTCTCTCCAGCATGTCCTGGGTCTTCCCCGAGACTTCCTACTGGTAGGACATGCCTGGAACACCTCCCAGGAGGCATCCGAAACTTGCCTAAGCCACCTCAGCTGACTTCTCTCAATGTGGAGGAGCAGCGGCTCTACTCCGAGCTCCTCCCGGGTGTCAGAGCACCTCACCCTATCCATAAGAGTGCGCCCTGCCACCCTGTGAAGGAAACTCATTTCGGCCGCTTGTATCCGAGATCTTGTCCTTTCAGTCATGACCCAAAGCTCATGCCCATGGGTGAGAGGAGGAATGTAGATTTCGGCTCATTACTGCTGCACCGATCCGCCTGTCAATCTCACGCTCCATCCTTCCCTCACTCGTGAACAAAACCCCAAGATACTTGAACTCCTTTACCTGGGGTAAGGACTTTCCTCCAACCTGGAGATGGCAAACCAGTTAAAAAAATAATAAATAAATAAATCAGTTTACATTTAGGAACTCTGAGCAATTGTGACATTGAGATCAAAACAGAGATCAGACACGGACTATAAGGGTCTACTCACACTATGCCATCCGTACCGTGCCCAGGCCCGTTTCCCGGATCATTTGAGAAGTGTGAGTGCGCTGAATCGGGCTCAAGCACGGTTCACTTGGCCGGCCCTGGCCCGGTTGGAAGAGGTGTGCCTGAGCGCGGTTCACTTGGGCTTTGGCACGGTACACTTGTGTGTGAGTGCAAAACGCACCAAAGCCCGAAACTGAAAGCGAGACGTGACTTTAAGGGGCTGTTTCATATGGATTTATTAATCATTCTTACTGTTCAGTGATTGCAAACTGCCGTAATTTATTAAAGACGCACACCTTCAACAGAACTCCTCATTCCTGCAGCACGAGAGCTTTATGATTGTTTATGAGCGCCAAAAGTGGCGGATCTGTTCTGCAAAATATCTGACTGCGTGTCACCGCATCCCTAAGGACTGTTTGGCGAAATATTTGACTGCATGTCAAACGACTGAAATGATATAACTAGAGAAATCTCCACTGTGCTGCTGAGTAAGAGCGCTTCTCACTGAACAGCCCAGCAGCGTTGACGTAAGCGTGCCAAAACCCGTTTGTGGTGAGTGCGGGCCGTCGGGGGAGACGGGAGGGGGACAAGCGTGCTTTGGCCTGGTTCGAGGCAACTGTACCTATTGTGAGTACGGCCTAAGAGTATCTTAAACCTGAACCTGACAGGAATCTGCTGATAGTTAAACTACACTGAACACCATCACATTCAACTCAATTCAGCTTTATTTGTACAGCGCTTTTACAATGTAGATTGTGTCAAAGCAGCTTCACATAAATGGTCACAGTAACTGGATCTGGAGGATCTGAACAGAGAGAAAGTTCAAGAACAGCAAGCCTTTAATCATTGAGCTGAAAAGGCTTAATATTAGACAGTGAGTTGGAGCAGAGCTGAGTCAACATCTGGCTTTACATTAACAACTGAGTAATATCAGATGATCATCATACCCATTAAACACGCACACAAAGACACCAAAAAAACACACACAAAACACAAACTGAGAAAAACACCAACAAATATACACAAACACACCAAAAGTATATGTTTTTTCCTCAATTATTTATATTAAGCAGATTCTTATACAGTTGAATGCTGAAGTTTACAGACACTGTATAAAAAGGCACAAAACCATTTAAAAAAGGTCAGATGTTAATGTGACTAAACTTTTCCTCTTTTAGGTAAGTTAGATGATCACATGTGTTTCTGTTCTGCCTAATAGCTAAATAATGAGTGAGATAATTTAAAGAAACTGTTATAACTCTTCTTGAAAGTCAAGTTTACACACAATAAAATTATTCTGCATCTGGAAAAGCTCAGATGATGATGTCAGGGTTTTGGAAGTTTCTGATTGGCTGACTGACAACATTTGAGTTAATGTGAGGCACAACTGTAGAATAGTATTGAAGGAAAAGCTCAAACACACTGCTTCCTTATGTGACAACATGGAGAATCAACAAGCCAGAATCAACAACAAAGCCAGATTACCATTAGCTGAATGACACTGGGGAAAGACTGATGTGTGGAGACATGTGCTGTGCTCTGATGGAGATAAGATTGAACTGTTTGGCCATAATGACCAGTGTTATATTTGGAGGACAAAGGGGAAAGCGCACAAGCCTAGAACACCATCCCAACTGTGCAGTATGGGGGCGGCAGCATCATGTTGTGGGGCTGTTTTGCTGCAGGAGGGACTGGTCCACTTCACAGCATAGATGGCATCATGAAGACAGAACAGTATGGAGAAATACTGAAGCAACATCTCAAGACATCAGCCAGGACATTACAACTTGGCCGCAAATGGCTCTTCCAGACAGACCATGACCCTAAGCATACTGCCAGATTAGTTCAAATGTGCTTTAAGCACAACAGAGTGAATGTTTTGGAGTGGCCATCACAAAGCCCTGACCTCAATCCTATATAACATTTGTGGGCAGAGTTGAAAAAGCTTGTGCGAGAAAGACAGACAAAAAGTCGGACTCAGTTACAGCAATTCTG